ACATAAATTGCTGGAAGTGGAGCTGACAAGCGTGAGTCAAGACAATTTTTTTTTTGGTAAGTATTTTCAATTGTTTCATTTCACATCAGAGGTTTCAATTTTTACTGATCAAGTAAGTTTTACTCAAAATTAAATGAATATCTGACTCTCATGACATATCAGTTTTTTCGTGATATTTCATGAAGACTCAAGCTATTTATGAAAGCTATTAATTATTATTGGGATATTCTTTGGATTCATTAAATTGAGCTAGACACATTAAAAAATACATGATATAATAACATAACATATACTTCATTCTTCATACTGTATGAAATAACGGAAGTTTCACGTTTTAAGTTCCTTCATTCACTTTTAAAGCTTTTCACGCTTCTAGTTTGTTCTCCTTTTGACGCCTACGGTGATCAATTTGGAAAATATATATATCACAGTTAGTAGGTAGTGATATGAGTTTACTCACACGGATATTTACCAAAAACTACCAAGTCTAGATTTCCTATTTTTATATTTCGAAAATTATTGGCTTGGAAAAAAATTATATGATGAATGATGATGCTAATAATAAAGTAAATCATAGAAAATAGAGAGAACTTCACGAATACAAAAACAATCTATTTGACCACTAATATTTTTGCCAGCTGAATCCATGTTATGAAGACGTTTTATAAAAATAGTTATAATCGTAAGTTCACATGATAAGTATCGGTATATGGCGTATTGAAGCAAACGTAGCCTACATACCCACAGAGAGCAATTTTGTCCGCTCTTCATATTCGTACAGTACCTCTCGTTCATTGTTAATGAACGCTTCATCAGATGACTACCGTTCGAAATATAATTGGTTCAATACTGAAACATGAGTGCTTCTTCAGGAAATTGGAAAGATTTTTCAACTGATTACTTCATATGGAACCAATATACCACACTAATCAGACTAGAAGATTCATTAGTGAACGTCGATAACCAAAAAAGTTACTCAGTTGGCATTTTTTTAAGTTTCTGCATTGAAATTATTTGTTGATCTTCAAGTAACTGAATTGTAACAAACATCTTGTGTTCATGTTGAAATAAATTGTCTTTGATAAGTAGGTACTTAATACACCTATTGGTGTGACACCCAAGTCAACTTGCCAAATTTTTATGTCAGTGTTGGTTGTTGGAACAATCAACTGACAACTGCGGTGGCAAAAATTTAGGAAGCTAACCTGGAATGTCATCGAGAAACGAATCCATACGTTTCTAAAATGATATGAAATCGAGAAAGTTCAATGCAGTCAAGCTGCTAGAAAATAATTTCATGAAAATCAAAAGATAAATAAATAAGTACCATTCTGATCATTCCCACATTGATTTCAATTTAAGAGCCACCGGTAGACAGCTGTTTCAGCATATTGGGCATCGTCAGTACCGGGCAGGCGGTCCTCGATAGAAGACAAAATGTGATACTGTCATCTTCATTTTCTTCAGTGAGGAAATTTTTTTCCTTACCCTTTCAAATGTCTTTCGTCAGGAGGACGAGTGGTTCATAAGTGGAGGTGTTTTTTGGTGACGACATAAAGATCAATGACCTCTATGCCGCCCTGCCTTTGCGAACCCCTTCCTGACTGGGGTATTTGATGAACAAACTATTCATTTTAACAGACGTCATGGGACCTCCACTCAACCGAGCGATGGTGCCTTCTGTATTAGAAGGGGTTGTCTCTAGTATAATCTACAGCTTCCCTAACTAATGGGTTATCATGAGTTTCTGCTGACTCGAAAACTCTCTGATTTCTCGACTGAATGGACTGCCGTATAGTTAACAACTCTGCGGATGGCTTTCCGCACAAACCATGGAGCATTCACCAGCATCCTAAAAAGTTTGTTTTGCAATCTTTCCGAAATGGAAAGATTCGACAGAGCGGTTTATCCCCAGGCGCCTGTAGCATTCATGATGACAAGCTTGAAGCTCGTATTGTATAGTAGAATCACATTTTTAAGATTGAGCTTTGAGTTTCTGTTAATCAGAGGATAGAGTTTTGCTATTCTCGACTGCACTTTGTTCTTGATGTGATTTGCCCAGGTGAGTCGGCGATCTATCTGCAGACCTAGGTACCTATCTCGCGTTTGCCATTCGATCTCCCTACCTGAAATCGTAACTCTTGTGTCGGGAGAAACATTACGTCTTCCCAAGTCTATTGCTCGAGTTTTATCTGGATTCACCCGAATCTTCCAGTCAAGGTACCAGCGTTCGAAGTCATCCAATGCGCGTTGCATGTAGACGACCGCCTACGCTCGACCCATGGAAGAAGCGAGGAGAGACTAATCATCGGCGTAAAGGAAAACCTTCACGTGATCAAACTTCGGAAGGTCGCTAACGTGAAGGCTGTACAATAGTGGAGACAGCACAGCTCCTTGAGGCGCTAAGGCTTGGATTTTCCTGACGGGAGACAGAGTTTCTTCAACTCGAACCCGAAATGTTCTGTCTTTCAGGAAGGACCTAATCCATCGGATTAGGCCCCGAGGCAGGTCGAAATCGAGCATTTCGTGTAGGAGGCCTTCATGCCACACTCGGTCGAAGGCTTTCGAAATATCCAGGAGGACTATATGAACTATCTTCCTGTTGTTGAGCTCTGAGATGGCATTTTCGACCAGTCTCAAGGCCTGCAACTTAGTGGAGTGTGCCCTCCTGAACCCGAATTGTTCATCAGGCAGAATATTTCCTTCTTCAACTTCTTCTGTTAGCCTTTGCAGCACAACACGTTCAGCCAACTTAGTCGTTGAGCAAAGCAGACTGATCGGACGATGATTCTGGGGAAACAGCGGGTTCTGGCCCTATTTCGGAATCATGACGAATATGGCATGCTTCCATCTTCGGGGGAAGTATCTGAGGGCGATTGAGCTGTTGATTATATTCAGCACGTATCTGAGGAAGTTTTCCGGGAGCTGCTTCAACAACCTTTTGTTGATTGAATCAATTCCCGGAGACTTCTTAGGTTTGGACGCTATAATGTACCCCCTCAGTTCTTCCTCCGAAACTGGACGGATCACCTTGTCCCAGTGATATCACTGCCAATATCATCATCCGGATCAACGTTAAGTCGAAACTAACTTTCCATTGTGTCTGCAAAGGCCAACACCTTCTCGGCGGGGGAGTAGCAGATGCCGCGCTGTCCGTGAAGAGGGGAGGGAGCAGTTTTCCTCTTCTCGAGCCTGCGGTTGACTCGCCAGAGCTCATCATCCCCAGGTTCGAGCGATTCCAAACACTCGCTACACCTCTCGTTTCTGTAGTCAGTGATGACCTGTTTAACCTGATTGGTCATCCTGCTTGCCGCAGCCTTGTCTCCAGGGTAGAGAGTTCGCTGATAAACTCGTATGTGTTGATTCCTCTCGCCAGAGCTCATCATCCCCAGGTTCGAGCGATTCCAAACACTCGCTCCACCTCTCGTTTCTGTAGTCAGTGATTACCTGTTTAACCTGATTGGTCATGCTGCTAGCCGCAGCCTTGTCTCCAGGGTAGAGAGTTCGCTGATAAACTCGTCTGTGTCGAATTCTCTCCCGGATAAGGTTCTTTATCCTGGGAGGAAACTCATTGTAGCTTCGCAGAGGACACGCTGTCCTGGTTGTGGTTGTGCGTTTTTCACAGACAATTCGAAATCCGCCACCGCCGCGTCGAGACCGTTGCGAGTTTGAAGCGCCTCACGGTCTGTGCGTGTCTCCACTATGTGAGCCTTGAAGGCTTTCCAATCCGTGGATGATCTCATGCGATAATCCTGGGGAGGGGGATCATTACCCAGCATCAGGATGACTGGATTATGATCTGTGTCAAGTTCCGACAAAGTGTATACTTCGCAGGACATGGAGACGTTCTTGAGCAGTGCGATATCAAGCACGTCAGGTATATTATTCCCACGATAAAACCTAGGCTCATTTGAACCCATCACTCGATATTCATGCCTTTCAGCATGCGCATGGAGCGCTCGGCCGTTTGCATTGGTGAGTCTACTCCACAGATTGTGCTTGGCCTTGAAGTCACCAGCAGCAATTGTGGGGTTATTTGTCGACATCAGCAGTTCAACCAGTGATTCTGGGAGTAGACGATTCCGCGGAGGGTTGTAAACTGAGATTAGTATATGATGACCTCTTCTCAGTTGGAGTTCAACGCCCACGGCTTCCATGCCATGTGACTGATCCGAGTCAATGCCGAATTGTACGAGAGGAAGATTACGTTTGACAAAAATGCCAACTTCTCCTTCTACACGTACAACGCGTTCTCTATGGTAAAAACGGTAGTTGGGAATACCAAAAGATTCGTTCTGCAGGTAGGTTTTCTGCACAAGTGCAACATCGATGTTATGTTCTATCAGGAAGTTCTCAAAGTCATGTTTTTTGTTTGAAATACTATTGGCATACCAAAATACAACCTCAATAGAGCTAGGCTATGTAGGTTGTCTAGCCATTAACAAGCTCCAGTTAGCACGTCGGTGTTCACCGTAAACATTTTTTCAAGTTCGGGAAACTGAATGAAGAGTTTCTTCATCTGGTCCAGGGCGGAGCAGATGCCATTAACTTTCGACGGACGAGGACTAGACGGAGCCGCGGTCGGCCTGGCGGAGGTGTTTCTGCTATTGGTCGCTTCTGCGTAGCTCATTCCCGGGCGTGGGCCAGATGCTCTGGCAGGGCGTTTTTCAGGTGTGGGTGCGTTTCGGGGGGCAGCTACTTTGGACCTCTTGCGAACCTTGGGGAACTCAGAACAACCTCGGTAGTTCGCCCACCCTTGCAGTTATTGTATTTTGGAGGATCTGCTTGCGGCTTCTTGCACTCACCTCAAAGGTGTCTGCCGGCGCACTTGACGCATATGGGAATAGCTAGGCAGTTTCTTTGGCTATGCCCGAACCACTGACATCGGTGACACTGCCCTACCAGTGTCTTCTGGTGTTGGGGCTCAACTTCAACTTTGACATTAAGGAGGTACCGTTCTTCATAGATATGTTTCTGATTTCTGTAGTCCTCGATCAAAGAAGGCTGAACTTTAATGCCGTCAGCCAGGTTTACTGCTTTCGTATAATTGACCTTGTGAAAGGTAGCCAACTACGTGAATTGAACCCATTTGTCCTTCTGACGAACGACAATTGTGGGAAAGTGAGTTTTCTTGATGTTTCGGGGCATTTCAGGACGCGGAGGAAGAAAAGTGCAAGCTCTCTGTTCCGTGGGATTTCCAACCTGGTTAATTTCGTCGTTTCGAGTGGTTTGATTTTTTGGGCCACCCTATATGGTGGAGAATAATTTTTCTCCTGTATCAGAGCCATCGCTCATGTTGACGTCGGTCAATACATCACCATCCACAGATGATTCAGTAGTTGAAAGTTCGGATTCTGAGAAATTCCGAGCTTCATCACGTGGTTTTGTCACTTTTTTGACAATCTTTTTTGGCTTAGCGCCAGTATTTCTTACTGCCTGAGAGGCTAGTTTTGAAGAAGGAGGAAGAGGGGGACAGTCTTCCGGGAGTCTTCGTTTCTTGTTTGCCGATTCGTTCGGCTCAGTCGCAGTTTTGGTTTTAATCTATGGCTGCGCAGAGAGGTTGGAGCCGACGGAGGTATCCTTGGAGGAAACTTCCCTTGGCGGACGATCAAGAAGCTTCCTGACCCCTGGTGGAGGGCCAGAAAGCTCCCCAATCGCCGACACGGGAATGCATCTTAGCAGATCTGATGGGCTCAGGCCCAGACGGTTAAGTTGAACGCCTATGAAGCCAATCACTTCACTCCTATCCCTGGCCATCAGGCCGTCTAGCAGTTTCTCCATATCGCTGTCGAAAGTGTAACACCCTTTGTTGTCCCAAGGATAGACGATGGTAAAATGAAAAGTTTCGTGAAATGATAAGTCTGAACGCACTCACCAGAAGTCCGGGCGGTTCTTGCACACTACAACGAGCGCACTCACTAACACAAGGGATTAACTACTGGTGAACGGCTGATCATCCACCAGAAACAATCGTTTATATGGAAATAACTTGGAAAATATCGGGGCGAAAATTAATAATCTGTTTGTCAGTTTGACAAAATGTGAAAAACCAAGAAAAGTAGGTACTTAATACACCTATTGGTGTGACACCCAAGTCAACTTGCCAAATTTTTATGTCAGTGTTGGTTGTTGGAACAATCAACTGACAACTGCGGTGGCAAAAATTTAGGAAGCTAACCTGGAATGTCATCGAGAAACGAATCCATACGTTTCTAAAATGATATGAAATCGAGAAAGTTCAATGCAGTCAAGCTGCTAGAAAATAATTTCATGAAAATCAAAAGATAAATAAATAAGTACCATTCTGATCATTCCCACATTGATTTCAATTTAAGAGCCACCGGTAGACAGCTGTTTCAGCATATTGGGCATCGTCAGTACCGGGCAGGCGGTCCTCGATTGAAGACAAAATGAGAAAAAACCAAGAAAGTACTTGATAAAAATAGCTGCGTAAACGCAAGCGAAACATAAGTGGAACCACCTATTGGTGTGACACCCAAGTCAACTTGCCAAGTTTTTATGTCAGTGTTGGTGGTTTGACCAATCAACCGACAACTGCGGTAGCAGAAATTTGGGAAGCTAACCTGAAATGCCATCGGAAAACGAATCCACATGTTTCTAGAAATGATATGAAATCGAGAAAGGTTAATGCAGTCAAGCTGCTGGAAAATAATTCCATTAAAATCAAAAGATAAATAAATAAGTACTATTCTGATCATTCCCATATTGATTTCAATTTGAGAGCCACCGGTAGACAGCTATTTCAACCTATTGGGCATCGTCAGTACCGGGCAGGCGGTCCTCGATTGAAGACAAAATGTGAAAAACCAAGAAAAGTACTACTAAAGTAATAAGTTCTTGTTACAATACTGCACAATTTTGAGTAATTTTCGGTGTTAACAAACAATAAAAATAACTTTGCACCAAAAACATTGAAAATTATTTTACTCTTCAAAAAAATTGACGGTGGTTAACGCTACAGTTGTGTAACTTGTAATATTGCAGGTTTTTAAAATAAACCGTCTTATACAGGATGCTGTCTTGTTATCGTTTTAGCATTTTTTTTCCGTAGTCCCCATTAAAAAAAATGGTAAAATAATGAAACTTCAATTAGATGGCAATGACTTTAAATCTAGATGTATATTTCAATTCTGAACAACTTTTCTAAATAACATTTCCCGAGATTTTTCAAAACAAGGATACTTTACTCTTGTCTCAAAATCAAATATTTGAAGGCTCCTCGTATATTACGTGTGATTTACTGTATTTTGTTGGTGCATGTTCAGTTTTAGTGGATGCACAAACTTTTATCAATAATAACTTTTTGTCCAAAAACCCTCAATAAATAAGTTTCCCATATGGTGCATACTTTGGGGATGACAGTGTATAACGGCGCCATTCTGAAATAAACTTCCAGATACAACGCTACTTTCGCACAAGCACCGCCCTTAGAGCGTTCTAAAGATTCCCTTTCAATGTTTGTCAACCAACTAGTAGCACTTCTAATCAATAACGTGAGCAGCGCTGCTAACGCGTTCGTAACGCGTTTTAGCAAGACAAAAAAAATTAAAAAAGCACTAGTCTGTGTAGATTTTTTGTTTTCAGTGCTTAGTAATCTAGATTCTAGATCAATGGGCGTGGAAACTCAGACGAAAACTAAAACCCAAGCACGGAACAATCGGAAAACGGTTTAATGTCAAACTTACGTCAATATGGGTTTTGAATATACTTGAATATATTTCAAATCGCAATTGATGTGATGTCTTCAATGAAAAAATGATTATTTTTGAATCGCAGACCATTATATTTCAAATATTTGGGAAAGAAAGTTTTTGGCCTTACAATTCTTCATATTGATAAAATGTAGGAATCTTCCAAAGAAAGGAAGGAAGCAATCAATTTCAAAAATTAACTCTAAATAAAAATGTGTAGAAGTTACTTTTAGACACAAACTAGAAAAAAAAGCCCTTTCAAAGCAGCTGTTTTCATATAAACATTAAATTACACGAAAGCAAAATACTTTCGAAACAAATACTTTTATACGAACGCTGAATTATACGAAAAACACTTTTCTCTATTCCATTTATATTTCAAACAATCCTAATGGAATCAAATCAGATATCATTCCTAGGATTCCTACACAATTCAATTGATGAAAAAAGTAAAATTTCACTTACATGGAACACTGTCATCCCCACTGGTAAATATCCGATGTTTCGAAGTAAGACACTTGCCGTATCGGCTCTTCAGTAGCAAATACGGACAACATTACAAGAAAAAAATCTCAATTCGTTTACAATTACGACTTTTTGTCACAGAATGGGTAAAATCTACCAATGTCATCGTTGACAGTACGTAAATAACATTCATTCGCTTATTTGATTGAATCTCAGCCACAGGAATCTTGTTTTAAATTGAAAGGGTATATTTTTAGGAGAGATTAATTTTTGGAAATGTGTCATTAGTATAGTTCAGACTTCATATAAAAGTATTCATTTCGAAAGTATTTTTCTTTCATGTAATTCAATGTTTATATAAAAATAGCTGTTTCGAAAGGGCTCTTTCTTCCAGTTTGTGTCTGAAAGTTATATCTTTGTATACCGGGTGTTCCACATTTTATGTGACAGGCAATATCTGGTTTGTTGAAGGAGATACACAAAAATGTTTCATACAAAAGTTTTAGGAGTTCATGAGAGCNCTATTATCACTTCCTTTCTCTGGAGGAATCCCACATTTTTGTAACAATATGGAGAAGATGAAGGTCAAAATCTTTTTTTCCCAAAAATGAATCTCTTCTTACAATATACCCTTTCAAATTACGGTTATTGGAAAAGCATATTTCATATGTATCAAAACGATCATTTTTTCTAGGTTCGCAGCCACAACAGGGCAGCAAGCGATTCCAGTCAGTTCATCGAGGCTACGAAACGGGACGCTTTGAATCTGCTGAAAAAAGAGCTCGAAAGGCTCCAGGAAACCTGCGAACCTCACAGGTTCGAAGAAACCAAACAACAGTATGAGGGATTCACGAAGTTATTCACAAGATTCCTCGATGAAACTGGACCCTCTGTTGATTGGGACCAGATAGAAAAGCTCCCCAATGATGCGGTTCGAGATTACTCAACTTTGGAAACTCCAACCGCCGATTTGGTACACAAGATGCTTGACAAGCTGGTTGTTATCAAACTGAACGGTGGTTTAGGGACGTCGATGGGATGCCACGGACCGAAATCGGTGATTACGGTTAGAAACGATTTGACGTTTTTGGATTTAACGGTTCAGCAAATCGAGGTGAGTAAGAGTTTTTATTTGTCATAGTTTGTTTGATAACGACTATTCAGATTTTTGCTTCTCGTAATAAAAAATCGTAAAATGATCTCATGTGTCAAATTTTTCCCAAACAATAAATATTCTCAATTGACATTTAATAATTATATAATATTACTACAAATTTATTTTCGAAGCATATGACAATTCTATAAACGAAACTTTTTCTGTGCGTGTATTGTCACTATTACAATATTAGTCTTAGGTTAGGTCAGATTAGGTCCAAAGTGAGTGGGTCCATTCGACCCTCCACCGCAACCCGTAAGGGTTTATTGTGCTAACACCTATTCACACTCGACCAAATAAACCCAGTTTCTTAACGAAGCTGATTAGTTTGTATGGTGAATGGTCTTTCAGGTCAGATGGTAAGAGTACGGCTCTGCCGAACTCTAAAAACCTGATTCGTATCATTCCCATATTGATTTCAATTTAAGAGCCACCGGTAGACAGCTGTTTCAGCCTATTGGGCATCGTCAGTACCGGGCAGGTGGTCCTCGATTGCAGACAAAATGTAGTATTGTCATCTTCATTTTTTTCAGATTGGACATTTTTTCCCTTACCCTTTTAACTGTCTTTCGTCAGGAGGACGAGTGGTTCATAACTGAAGGTGTTTTTTTTTTGGTGACTACATAAAGATCAATGACCTCTATGCCGCTCTGGCCTTGTGTACCCCTTCCTGACTGGGGTATTTGATGAACAAACTGTTCATTTTAACAGACGTCGTGGGGCCTTCACTCAACCGAGCGACGGGGCCTTCTGAATCGAGAGAGGTCGTCTATAGTATAATCTACAGCTTCCCTAACTAATGGCTTATCATGAGTTTCCGCTGACTCGAAAACTCTCTGATTCCTCGACTGAATGGACTGCCGTATAGTTAACAGCTTCAAATCCCTGCGAATGGCTTCATTCCGCACGAACCATGAATTATTCACCAGCGTCCTAAGAAGTTTGTTTTCCAAAATGGAAAGATTTGACGGAGCGGATTGTCCCCAGGCGCCTGTAGCATACATGATGACAGGCTTGAACACCGTATTGTATAGTAGAATCGTATTAATAAGATTGATCTTTGAGTTTCTGTTAATCAAAGGATAGAGTTTTGCTATCCTTGACTGCACTTTGCTCTTGATATAATCAATGTGATTTGCCCAGGTGAGTCGGCGATCTATCCACAGACCTAGGTACTTAACTCGCGTTTGCCTTTCGATCTTTCTGCCTGAAATCGTGACCCTTGTGTCTGGAAAAACATTACATCTCCCCAAGTCTATCGCCTGGATTTCATCTGGATTCACCCGAATCTTCCAGTCAAGGTACCAGCGTTCGAGGTCGTCCAATGCGCGTTGCATGTAGACGACCGCCAACGCTCGACCCATGGAAGAAGCGAGGAGAGCCGTATCATCGGCGTAAAGGGAAACCTTCACGTGATCGAACCTCGGAAGGTCGCTGTAATACCTGGGGTGTTATTCCAGACTATTACTGCACTTAGTATCAAAAATAATCAATTGATGTATACAAGAAGTACTTAAAAATTCTCTAAATTTTTTAGCATCCTTGATAATTCCACCGTTGCCACCTTTAACGTATCGAATCACCTTATTACGGTGCCGAAACGTTACCAAATTAATTATTTAATTTCCACCAACTGTCACCAATAAAACAATAAAATAATATAAGGCTTTCGCTGTCACCAATATATCACCATTCCGCAGGGCTGCTGGATTCGTGCCAAACGCACGAAGGTTGGTCTTTTGAACCTTAGCTACTTAACATTCCTCCTGTTGAGGTTGAAGTTTAACTTTGTCAGCTGAAGGCCGATTAATTATTCAATAGGACAGGTGCGGTTATAGATATATTATCAAAAAAAAAAAATTATTACCAAGAATTAATTTAGGAAGTGGTATAATTTCCTTGTCTTTCTTTTCAACGTCAATGATCCAAAATAACCACTAAGACCAAAAATAAAATTCAAAATGACAACCTCTCTCAATAAAACAACATGGGTGTTAGTAAAATTTAAAATTGACTCACGATACTTCGTTTATCCTGGTGCATTCGATTACCCTAGCTGCGCCCGTGATATGTCCGTCCTGTCTGGTCCTGATTCTGTAATCCTGGCTAATGCCACAAACAAAACATCAAATTTTATTTACTTAACCGGCCTAACGCCACTATACCGCAAGATTCACTCGGTCTCCCCCAGTTTATCTAGAAATCACTATTTATAACTATTTTTTCCTTATTTATTCCCGTGTTTTTCCCGGAGCGTGTACCAGTAACTACCGCTTATTCCGCTTACTCCCGTATCCCCCTGACTACCAATACCAGAGTCTCGCTAAGTACCCTTTATCGCCCGGAGTCCCACTAATTTCCCCTTTTCGCTCAGCGTTTTCCGATGCACGTCCCGCTAGCTACTCCCCTATTCAGACTACCTCCCTCAGCATCGAAGGCTGAGGGATGAAACCCCCTATCTCGTCTCGACGAGATCCGGTGACCCACTTTTTTCTGTCTCCAGAAACTCCCGTACCCCCAGTATCGTCTTTAACAAAAATAAATTCTCCCTCTTAACTTCCCGTGATTGGTCATTCCCTACGGTCTTGCTAGATTATTTCCCATTACCCTTCCCATT